GAGAGAGAGAGAGAGAGAGAGAGAGAGAGAGAGAGAGAGAGAGAGAGAGAGAGAGAGAGAGAGAGAGAGGACTTGCAACTGCTTAAGATACGTGCGGGCTACATGTGGGTGCGAGAGCCCCTGGCCAAATGGTGAAAATAGATGGAAAAAGGGTTATTTGATTTTTTGAATGTTTTTGACAATTGTATAATTCTGAGTGATTTTGGATGATGGAGTTCTACAGTTTGTTTTCTTATATAGTCTTTGACTCTTTGGTGCATTCGCCTTTCCTGAGGGTGCAGACCCATCCCTCCCCTCCTCCAATCTGTGCAGTGTGCTTTCAAGGGAATAGTTGTTGTCTTGTTCAATTGATGAGAGGGTCTTCTTTACTCTGAAGATTATGCAACTGGGACATTTTTGGGACTGTAAGTGGCAATTTCCTAATAGCCTTGAGTCATCTCTGAAAGATTGACGCGAGAGTACAGTCCCAGAGGCAGGCGTAGTTAATCCTATGAGTAGGTAGGAGTGTGACTTTTTTTTGAGTTTTTTTTTCTTTTTCTTTTTCTTTTCTTTCCTTTTTCTCCAGGTAGCTATATGAGACTTTGGTCGGGAGTGAACTCCCGTATTTGTAGTGCGGCGGACTCTCTCATTTGTATTGTACCATGGTTAGTGTACCGGACAGCTCACAAATGACTAGTATGTGTTCCTAAAGAGATAGGTTTTCCCCTTCGGAAGGTCCATTTCATACACACATTGTGTGCATGGTCTGTAAAAGTTTCATAATTTTCTACATGGTCTTGATACGCGCATTTTATTTATCTCAGTTTTTTTTTCCGTCAAATCGCAACAATTGCGGATAACGGGAATCGAACCCATATCCCCTGCTTGGAAGGCAGACAATTTACCTTACATAATTTTCTAGTTTAGTTATACATCCTAAAAACTCTTGAGGAGTGTTATACCCTCGTCTGCGGTGTCTAATTTGTCTATCACCTTTCGTGTCCTTCTTGGTGAAACCTGCCGTCTTCCCCGAGTAGAACGAACGTACGGTCCTTATGACCGTATTTGGCTCACCGTCGTGTCCAGATGCAGCAAAAATGACCGTAAGGCGTATTATACTGCCTTAGGTGGGCTGAACTCCGTTGTCCTGCTACCAGATAGGATTGCGTCGAGTCGCTGTCGACTACGTTGGATATATTGTTTGCTGCTTTCTGCACCTCTGAGTTTCAGACACCGTTAATTGATACTACTATACACTCGGGAGGAGGGAGGTTTTCACGTGGTCTGTGGCGCACCCTGTTGCTGGCGAGAGGGGAAGCACTGAACTCGGGCGATCCCCTCCTCCCCCCCCCCTCCCCTGTGTGTGTGGCCGAGGCTGTGTGCGGCTGGCTCGAGTGTCCTCTGTTTCTGTGGGTGGGTTCACTGTGTCATTAGGTGGGCTGAACTCCGTGCGTACCGCCCCCCCCGCCCCCCCTTTGATGGACATCCTCTGCTGGCGCTGTCCTCGACACCCCGCCCAACTTTTAGAAAAAGAGAGAAAAAAAAAGCACACTGGCAGCGCTGTTGTCAGCAGGTCCTTACGCTTGACTTGAAAATTTTGTCGTGTCCAATTCTGAAGTCCTGCGCGCTGTGAACTCACTCACACCAGGTGGCGCGAGGGGAATAATTGTTCCTTTTTTTTTTTTTTTGGTGGTGCGAGGGGAATAATTGTTACTTTTTTTTTTT